TTTAAAATCATTTTTAGTTAATTCGATAATTGTTCAAAATTTTATTTTGATTTAGTGTCTGTCTTGAATAAGAGAAACGTCATTACAATCTTGGATTTACTGTTCCATTGATCTCGACTAATTGAAATCAAATATTGTTTTAGATCTATAGACACTTACTTGATTTTACCTGTTACTCCTCGTGGAGGAGTATAGGTCGCCCAACAGCATTCTTCACTCAACTCTGTTTGGCAATATCCCTTACATTTGCTACTCGTACCTTTCATGTCTGATTACACTTCTCGACGCAGTTTGTTCTTTGGCTTTCCTCGTTTCCGTTTCCCTTCAGGATTTCAAGTTAGCGATTTACTCGTGATGCAGTTTGGTGATTTCCACAATAGATATCCTATCCACTTTTAACGTCTTTTCCTAATTTCCTCTTCAGCCGGAAGTTGATTTGTTCTCTTCCACAGTAGGCTGTTGCTGATGGTATCAGGTCAACGCATATTGAGTATTTTGCATAAATAACTGTGTCCTTTTGATGATGGCTGAGGTAGTTCTTCACGTTTCAGCTCCGTACAGTGGAACTGTCTTGACGTTCGTATTGAAAATTCTGACTTGGATTTTGGTTGACAGTTGTTTTGAGTACCACATGTTCTTTAATTGAAGATTGATGCTCTTGCTTTGCCAATCCTTACACTTACGTCTGCATCTGATCCTCCTTGTACATCGGCGATGCTTCCCAGGTACGTGAAGGATTCCACATTATGCAGAGCTTCGCCATCAAGTGTGATTGGTTTGATGTTCTCCGTGTTGTATTTACAATACTACAAACTTGAAATTAATATATTTCACGTAAGATATAATTCTAGAGAGAATTAGATTTTTTAAGAGCTTTCCTTGTGATGAACGTTTAGTATGTTTTGAGTTTTAGTAAAATATATGTTAAAGAAAATAAAAATTAAACATTTACCAGGATTATTCAATGATTACCACATATGTACTTAGGAGACATGTTTTTAGAAGGAAATCATAGATTAATCGAAGCCACCACAGTTTTCAATATTTATTTACTTCCTGACACTTTTTCGAACGTTGCAAAAATACAGCTAGAATGAATGTTTTGTTAAATATACTTATTACTTGGACGATATACCCTTCAGTAACTTCATTTCCTCCATTCCCGAATTTCGGCGCGTTAAAATATACTACTTATAAACTACAGGTAGTCAAGAAATTATCTTAAACACGTATGTTGCAACAAATTTTTTCAACTTGCTACACACCTGAAGTCGAATTCATTTTGAACGTACTAGTCCATTGTTCTCCATCGGTATGATGGATATCTATTGTGGAAATCACCAAACTGCATCACGAGTAAATCGCTAACTTGAAATCCTGAAGGGAAACGGAAACGAGGAAAGCCAAAGAACAAACTGCGTCGAGAAGTGTAATCAGACATGAAAGGTACGAGTAGCAAATGTAAGGGATATTGCCAAACAGAGTTGAGTGAAGAATGCTGTTGGGCGACCTATACTCCTCCACGAGCAGTAGCAGGCGTAAGGAGGTAAGTAATTATTTTAAACTCGTGATGATACAAAATATTAAGCTTAGAATATGTAAAGTACTTGATAATTGATTTAACCATCTGTCTCTTTGCATGATAAGATTAGGTTCTCTGTGTACTCCCACACTATATCATGTCGAGCCCAATTAACATTTATCTTCCTTAAGATGAATTACGACACGTTTTTTTCAATACTTACACATGTTCAATACTTTAAGAACCAAGGTTGAGAAAAAAACGTCCTAGTCTTTTTTGTTGCTACTTATGGGTGAAGAAAAATACAAAATAAGTCTAAACACAAGTAACACACCATACATATGTTAACGAGAAGAACATTCTCTTTAGTTAAAGGAATGTCTCTGAATTAGAAGTCTTGACCTGATCACATTGTTCATCCTTGTAGAATAATTTTGTTTAAGACAATCATATTTAGATTTATACAAAGTCGAAGTATAGTAATCTGATTTCTTTCCTCGTAGCTATCGACAAATGAATTACAATCTGATAGTAGCAAGTTCGAATAAAAAACGTGATATAACACGTTAAGCAGCTAACTCATCACACTATCAGCAGTTCCTGTTGAAGATCTGCTAAGTTAATGTACATCTTACATGTATTAGCTCCCATCAACAATATATTAGCAATTTCACGGATGCATGTTTTGAGAAATGTTAAGAAAATGTAATCATCAATTAACAAACTCTCTTACTTTGCCAAGTTGAAATCCTTTGACATGAATTGATAGCGTAAAGAAAGCTGGGAACCTCTTGAAATCCGCATCGACTGACTTCAGCCAAATTACAGAAAGCGCATATCATTAAAATTATCACCAAAACTTGCTCTTCACGTCGTTACTTTCAAACACCTTCAGCTTAACTTTGTAAATGTGACAATTGAATCACAAGCCTACTTCCTTTCGAAAAGTTTACTTTTCGGTCTGTTCAAGTAGGTTTATGAATTAAAAGCTTTCATCTCCAGCACTTATGACTATGGGTATCGTCTTCGATTTATAAACTAACAGGAGAAATGCTTTTGAAAATTAGACTGAAATGAAGCATTGTTTTGTAATCAGAACAAACTTTCTGAAGAGCTTCACTATTATCTAGCCGATGAACTTCGACTAAGTTTTGCTATTAACTATAAAAGTGGGTAGAATTAGACGAAAAGCACAGACACGCTCACGACCTTCAAACTGGTTTAATAGATACGCTGAGTTATTGTTGGAAAATGAAAACTTTCATATAACCTCGGGTGATGTACATAAAATGTAGAGTATTCTGTCTTTCTATAAGTTACAGTTTCGTTTAACTACTGATCTGCATCAAGCAAACGAACAACCGAAAATCTGAATGTGATTTACGCATTAATATTCGAGAGTAATAAATTATAGGTCAGCGTAGTGGTTCTCTACAACGATTTATCCTAACATAATTAGTAATTCTGTATGTAAGATATACCTTAAAAACTATTCAAGAATAACTAAACACTTATAAATTATAGTTCCTGTTATATCCTAGCGAAGATTAAATTACGAGTAACTTCTGCGACCTATTAATAGACTAAAATTATCTATTTTCTTATGATATAACTATTCAGTAATTGTATTATGTACATCTACATCCCCCTTATTCTAAGTTTCGTTTTGACCCATAGATTATTATTGTACGATTTACTGTTTTTAAGTTATACTCAGTTTATTGATCACTGTCACCCACGTTCACAGCCACTTTTTGGCTTTATTGTGTATAAATGTTATTTCCTATTTTATGGTGCGTTGCAGTCTGTTTGGTTGATATATAAACCCAGTATATCAAAAATGATTCGCATAGTGGAGGATGTTATTAGCATTCCGGACTCAACTGGACGGGCTAGGCGAGGAACGGACCAATAGGACTCTAGGTTGATCAGACCAGACGAACGTCACTGGTATAGTACAGTACAAGAGCGAACAAGTATTTTGATAGGCGAATAAATTACGTGATAAAAAGCGGGCCTAATAACAACAGTTCCCACCCAGAAAAAGTACGCCATTCTAAAACACAATGAAATGTGTTATAATCTGTCAGAAAAATTAAATTTGTAGATTTAAAATAATTGTCAACAGTTTTCTTTTATACACATAGTTCCCTCTATTATCTTAAAGCGAGCAAGAACAAAGATTGGTGTAGAATAATATGAATTCATTTTATTTCGTTAGGTTCCCATCAGCTGCATACAACCTAAAATTCAACGTTATTACAGATATTTATTCGAGACAAAATTTTATGATCTCATTAACTCTATCGGAATCTTCGCTACACCATGATACAATTATTCATTCTTAATCATCCTCTTATGTAAAAGTATGTCAATATCTGTAATAACGTTGAATTTTAAATATTTTAGGTTGCATGCAGCTGATGAGAACCTGACGAAATAAAACGAATTCATATTATTCTACACCAATCTTTGTTCTTGTTCGCTTTAAGTTTTCTCTTATACAAACTAGTTTGTGGTACTGAGAACAATCTACAACTATGAAAACTACAGTGGTAAATGACTAGGTGGTACTTTGATTAAGAAATTATGAACTACCGTAAGCCATTAATTATAATGTAGACAAACCATCAGTACCTACTAATTCACATTTTTAAAAAATGTTTTTCACAAGCAAATGATTTCAAAGACTGTCATTGATGACTTGAGTGGGGTTGCAGTTTGTTATTAATCCCAGTAGAAAAAAGCAGCCGTAATATCAGATCTAATATTACGGGAAGATAAGTTTTTAAAATAAACAACTTCGTTATTTTGCTGCCGTTAAATGTAAAATTCTAGCTTCATAGGATGACCAGGAATATATATACTACCACCACGGGTATGAAGGATCCATCCGTGGGAGTCAGGAAGCCTTGATTTCGGACCAATGTATGCACGGGTTCCAGAGGAAACGAATGGCGTACTAACCTATTTTTGGACACCGACCATAATGGAAATCCAACTCGACGTTGCTCTATTGCCTTGTGTATGAGAGCTATTGTTCAAAACCTCGGGTAGTGACCCCACCCCACACACAAATTTGATGATAACTACTTTGTGTAACGCATATACATATTGGTACCCTTTTGTGAGAATGTTTGTGTTTAAATAGATAAATAATATTCAACTTTGTGAAACTTATTTTATATAGGGTCCAATGTTTGTTATACGCAATCTTAAATTACATCAATGAAGTTTATACTCAACCAGTCACGAATATATGACGGATATGACAGACATTGAAGAATGACTAAACCGCTAAGGTAGTTGGGGTTCCGCAATACGTTTATACGCCTGAAAATTAACCTACTTTACTTCGATTAAAGGATTTGATTATTATAACAAGCCCCCATAAAAAAACACAGATAGGCGCCGACTACTCATAAGGTTAGTTTTCGAGTTAATTAAAAAAGTTAAGACAAAAATCTACTTGAAAAAGTTTATGTAGTACAGACAAATGTATTTTTACCCGCAAACCTGACGAAGCAATTCAGATCACATACTAAAAAGTGATCATTAATCCCAATACAATATATAAAATAAGACTTTGAGTGGTTATAAAAGACAGATGATTTATATTCAGCAAAAAGTATACATTTTCAATCATGTTGTTCAGTGTGTGGTACACTACCCAAACGTTGAGGATTTTGGCTTGGATAATGAATACCCAATGGATCATCATCAGCTGGTGTGTTTTTACTAGACTTTGATTCATTCAATGTTGAAGATGTTGCTGTGCTGAGTTGTGACTTAAGAGGAGGAGGTGGGGGCGGCGGTGGTGGCGGAGGGGGAGGCATAGGCAACAAAGACGATGAGCTTGAATCGCGTAGGGTAGGAGGTGCTGGCGGTGGAGGGTTTCGTAATAAGCTTGTAGGACGAACGGTGAAATGAGGCAAAGGTGGAGGCGGTGGACCTCGTAAGAACAATTCTAGAAATAACAATAATAAAACCATGCAGTTAATTAAAGAAATTTATTTCAAACATTACACAAAGATGAATCCGATTTTTGTAGTTCACACAATAACTACGGTACACTGAGAACATAGAAGACAATAAATTATAAAGAATTTATGTTAGAAGAGATTAAATGATAGGGAGTTTATGGTATTGTAGTTATCTTAATGTTATCTTATAGACCATAGACTTGTGAACAGAACAAACAGGGTTTTTTAAACTTCTGGAATACCCATTAACAACCTGTACGAATGTTGTAGTACGTTTTCGTGTTTTATACACCTTTTAACTAACTATTTATTATACTCATACACTATATAAAAGTCATCAACTCATACCAAAGCTAAATTCCTCAAAATAAAAGCAGAACCACCACGGTGATTGTTATGTTTTTATCTTTGTTTGTCCTTTAGAGAAACTATAGGGATTTGCTCTGGATCAAATATAAAGTGCGATGAAAATAGATCACTCATAGTTTATCGTAAACTTCTACTGATGAACATAAATAGCAGAAACTATCAATACCTGACCGTTGTCGCTACCTTGACGTGGTGGTCGTGCTTGCCTGAGCTATACTGGCTGGAACAACCGTTCCTTAAGGTCCTACCATGCCAGACAGGTCGGTTGAAGAGCGGTATGACTAAAAGCAACAAACCCAAGGTCCCAAGGCGAAGTCGTACTGCCGACTGTACAGAGCTGTGACAGCAGTAAGATGTTTCCTTCAGATAACCAGCATGACAGTGATGCTGCCTTCCCACAAAATAGGGCGGGGTTAGAAAAGGTCAAACCTAAAAATGCACACCTCGCCTTATCCTACGGATATCCGTCTCCGGCGGTAAGGTCTCAACAAGTACGGAGCTAGCACAAAACTACTCATTAAAAGGTCGTGTGTGACCGACCTCAAGCAGTTGTCCCTTGGGTACTACGGTCATGCTCTCAGGTCACTAAGACCACCTCTAACCCAATTTCATTTTCAGGTACCTCCAGAAGAACCCTTCCACGGTATGGGCAACCGGGAAGTGATAACCACCCTCATACCTCTAACAGCAGTCAAGACCACTGTATTCGTAATCAACCTCCCTCTTCAATTCCTATCATTCCTCTTACATCGACTTTCAAACCTAAACTTTGGTTTCCTCCTCAAGTGTCACCATAGCCAACGATTCTAGTGCGCAAAACACTGTCCCAGGTCTACTGAAACCTCGCTCCAAAATACATATTGGAGCCTTCAACGTACGCACACTATGTCAAATCGGTCTGCAGACCTCCTTGGCTAAATCCTTAGAATCTCGTACGATTGATTTATGCTGTGTCTCTGAAACACGCATACAGGATCCTAGTATGGTCATTCACTTGACCTCACCTCGGCAAAATGGAGAGCCGACGAGATACACCCTCCGTGTATCTGGCGACCCGATAGCTAGTTCTCGTGGACTTGCAGGTGTAGGCATAGCACTAAGCATGAGGGCGGAACAAGCGCTATTAGAGTGGATCCCCGTTGATAGTCGTCTATGCGCTGTTCGGCTAAACGGCTCCGTAAGAACTCGGAAGGATAGGGAAACACGTCGTTGCCTTTTCGTCGTTTCTGCCTACGCTCCCACTGACTGCAGTTCGGATGAAGTGAAAGATGAATTTTACAGAAAACTCTCTGAACTTCTTCAGAAAGCTAAACGTTCAGACATAGTACTCGTAGCACGCGACTTTAATGCCCAGGTAGGTAGCTTAAACGAAACAGAAAGACATTTAGGTGGGTATGTTAGTATTCCGGCACAGAACAGATAATGGTGATCGTCTGCTGCAACTGTGCTCAGACAATCGTTTATTTTTAGCAAAAACAAATTTTAAGCATAAGGAGAGACATCGTCTAACATGGCGACCCTCTGCACTAAATCAACAATGGACTCAAATAGACCATATTGCCATCAGTCATCGTTGAAGAGGATCAATAGAAGATTGTCGCTCATTCTGGAGTACCTGCTTAAATTCCGACCATGCCCAAATACGAGCACGCATCTGCTTGCGCCTCACTGGACGCAAAAAAGCCCTATGAGGAAGGCCTATTAGAATTGAATTGAGTGATGAGAAAGCCGAAAGTAGATTCCAGGAACAACTGAGGTCACACTTAGGTAGTTCTGAAAACGAGGCTGACTCAGATGTTGCTTGGAAAGATATACAAGCAGCTGTGGAAACAGCAGTGACATCTATTAGTGATTTAAACCAAAGGGTTACAAAGAACCAATGGATTTCTTTAAGGTCTATTGCACTGATGGATTCGCGTAAACTCATCCCATCGGGCTCTGAAAACGATGATGAACAAAAGCAAAAGTCTAAGGAACGATCGTGAGCAGTGGTGGGCAACGAAACCAAAAGAGATGGAAAAGGCGGCGGCTATAGGTAACTTCAGACAACTCTTCAGCATTTGACTCTGTTGACCGAGAGGTTCTGTGGCAGTGTCTGTCATTCAAAGGCGTACCTCAGAAGTACATAAACCTTGTGAAGGCTCTTTACTCGAACACTACTAGTCGAGTGAGAACTTATGGCGAACTGTCATCTGCTTTCGCAACCTCAAGTGGCGTCCGTTAAGGCTGTCCACTTTCTCCATTTTTGTGTAGCTTCATCATAGATCTATTGATGGGAATAACGCTCTCATCGACTGAATTCTCAGGTATTGATCTCCTACCAGGAGGTCCACTTATTGACTTAGAATATGCAGATGACATAGTCCTGTTTGGTGAAGATGCTGATGAAATGCAGTCTTTTGGTAGCACTGAGCAACAATGCCAGAATGTTTGGGATGCGCTTCTCTCCCTCCAAATGCAAGTTGTTGCTTCAGGACTGGTCTGCGTCAACACCTAAACTAAGGATAGGGAGTGAAGTAGTCGAAGGCGTTGACAACTTCACTTATCTTGGAAGTCTGATCAGCTCTAATGGGTTGGTGTCTGACGAAATCTCAGCACGGATTCGAAAAGCTCGTTTGGCTTTTGCCAACTTACGTCATCTATGGCAAAGGCGAGATATCCGTCTGTCAATTAAGGGACGAGTATACTGCGCGGCAGTTCGTTCCGTTCTACTCTACGGCTGCGAAACATGGCCTTTAAGAGTAGAAGATACGCGTAAGTTACTAGTATTTGACCACAGGTGCCTTAGAAATATTGCTCGCATCTGCTGGGATCACCGGGTAAGCAATAGTGAGGTTAGGCGCAGGGTATTAGGAAATGATGGTAAATCAGTTGATGAGGTTATGAATCTTCATCGACTGAGATGGTTGGGCCACGTGCTGCGTATGCCTGAACACCGATTACCACGGCGTGCAATGCTCACTGGTGTTAGGGATGATTGGAAGAAAGTTAGGGGCGGCCAAACCAAAACGTGGCATCAGTGCTTGAAGTCACCTACTTCTGGTCTGAGCCATGTTGGTAGATTTAAACTGCCTGGTTGGGGTCCGCGTGACTATCGTAACCAATGGTTGGAGACTCTTTGTGACATGGCTCAGAATCGATCACAATGGCGTAGGTGTATACACTCTCTGTCTTCCTTTAAACTAAGAGATTAAAATCACTTCAAATCTTTCTTTCTAGGAACTAATTCTTTCTTCCTGTACTATATCCTTATATGCAATCTTTCTTTTATATATTACCATCACTGAATTAACCACTTCTATGAATCCGGTGTTAATCTTGTTGTGCTAATGCGGTATGGAAACTTGGACCGACGCATATATGTTCCAGGTCCTACGTTGCAGCTGACTGACTGAGAGACTATCAATAACATTTTGAGTATTTATTAGAATTTTCACAAGTTAAATGAGTAGAAAAAGGAATTTCTCGCAACGCTTCTATCTGAAAACTCATGATTGTAGACAAAACGAGAAACATTAAATATACCGATCATTATACTACACATGGAAACCCAATAAAATAATCACGAAATCGCAAATGATAGGTAATGGTTTAGTGAGAAATACGTAACATCGAGGTTCATTACATAACACCCCATACACATGTATGAAATCTAGAATTTGGGTTACTAATAATGGTGTCATACATAGTACAGTCTAGATGAAATGTTGATTTTTGGGTAAATATATCTATCATTACCACCGTTAGGTGTCCGGACAATCGTTCACATACAAGCAGTGACTGATATGCTTTAGACTGATTGGCGAGTACGAAACATATTTGCAATGTCGCATACAGTTACTTGAAATGTCTGGCAGTACACTAATGAACTGAACATTTTACACTATCACAAGTACTCAGCTGATATACACACAAATTCTAAAGGATCTACGAAAGTTCATTATTTTATATCGTTTATTTTGTGTGGATTGACCTCTTTCCATTCTAAAAGCTAAATGCAATAAATACTGATTTTCTGTCTGGAAGTTTGAAACAATTTATTCAACTGCTAGTTTTCACTTAGGAGAAGATACAGATTATCTGTAAACTATCGTTTCGCAATTTGCCAAAGGAAGAATTTTGTTTTGGTAAAGAAAAAAATGTCAGAACATTACAACGATGAGCTTTAAATTTCATCAAAAAAGCAACCAGATATTAGGTATTATTTCGAGAGAAACTAAGATAGATTTACAAAAATTATTTGTTCCAGAGACTATGAAGAGTGGCGTTTTGTGGTTACAAACAGTTACATAGATCCGACTATCATACATTCAACAGGAAAACAGTTAAGTTGAGCAAATATTTAGTGACAGTGGATTGGAAAATACCTTTGAAGCATAGAAAATCAAGCAAAGACTGTTTGAAAATTACATCAGTAAACACCCAACTTAGGTACGTCTGCAGCCCTTCTAGGGTCACTACCTGTTACAAACCCGGATAAAGGAGGAGGGTTGTGCATGGGATCAGCAACCTTGCTAAAAAACCCAACCAGAAAAAAACAATTTAAACCATTCAAACCCTGTCCTGGAAGTTAAAGGATCTTCATTGAGAAGAATGATAACACCTCATGGTTAAATCCGAGACTCATTAGAAGTCGCAAGGCCGATAACACTTCCAACAACAATTAATATAGGTAGATGGAATTCATGGACAATATGAGAGACTGGGAGGACCAGTGAAACTTGATGGTGCTCAGAATGAGTGAAACCCATTGAACCCAAGCTGGACAGGAAAGATTAGATTCGGGAGAGATACTGTTATACTCTAGTCATGTAGAAAATCCTTTGTACATACAAGCGGTTGCACTGATTCTGTCCAGAGAAGCATTAGAATTACTTATAGGACGGGAATTTTATGGATCCAGGACCGTCAAAGCATCCTTCAAGACAAAGAAGAAAGGGAACACAATGAATGCTATCCAGTGCTGCGGGCCCACCAATGATAGCAACGAGGGCGATAAAGACCCGTTTGACGAGAGGCTGCAGTTGATCGTAGAGAAGTGCCCAACAAAGAACCTGACCATCTCGTCAAAGTTGGGATAAAGAGCACCGGATATGAAGATATCATGGGATGACATGAACTGACTGGAAGAAAAGAAACGGGAATGATGAGAGATTTGCATATTTATGTGCACTTGACAAAATCATTATGAGCAGTACTATTGTGGTTTGCTACTGATCTCGACAAATATAAGTAGTATGTGACCAATCGGAAGTGAAATGCCTGGATGCAGAAGATTGAGAAGATCAAAGAAAAGAGAACAAAGAATGGTTGCTGTGGAATCGAACGAATAATCAAGTCTGGGACGATTGATTGACATTTGCAGAAGGAACAGTCAAGTTTGAGACAAGTGATTGATATTTTGCAAATCAAGTATTTATGGTATGGTTCTCAGATTTCACTAGATCCTGTAATTTTGTGTTGAAATACATTTGGTAGTCTCCACTTGTTTTCTCGTTCACTACATTATACAGCCCCCCCACACACAAGGCTAAATGAGTCTCACCGGATCACACTACAGAGAACCAGACCGACCATATTTGGGTCACTGGAATTTCCAGAAGAGCCATAGAAGACGTAGGAACACAGAGACGAGCTGACAATGCTTCAGATCACCACCTGGTGTTTGCCAAGATGAAACTGATGCTAAAGAAACACTGGACAACTGGAGAAACATTAAAAAAGTTCAATACAGTCTTCCTTCGAGATGCTGATAAACTCAACGAATTCAAGATAGCTCTCGATAACAGGTTCCAAGCCCTACAAGATAAACTCAAAGAGGATGAAACTACATGGAAAGGATGATAAGTAACTGGAAAGAATTGCCCATGATAGTTTGATGGAGAATGTTGTTGGGCGACATATGCTTCTTCACGAGTGGTAACGGGAGTAAATAGAGATGGAAGTAAACTTACAGTTTAGCCAGCTAATTTATAAACCCTTCGAATGTATTAATTCTGTGTATGTCTTGAGTATATATTTGGCTAGCTTGAAATTTTAAAAATTGTCAATTAGAACGTCAATCGGTTCGGAAATAGAATCAAACAATCAAAGCTTGCATTTATGTCACAAACAGAAGGTTGCTCGAACTCGTCTAATTAGACTAACTGGTAAACTGAAAGATACCATAATTGCAGTTCATCGCTTTCATCATCATTGATCGTATCATAGTTCACAGTTTGATTCAAAATTTGGGAAATCTATCAAACTAACAAAAAAGCAGTTCACTTGGTGAGTCATACATCAGGCTATGTAGCAGAAACTAAATAACGGAATCTAGGATACCCTTTGTTTAACTAATTAAACATTGTTACTTACCTCCAGGAGGTGGTGGCTCAGCAACTGGTGGTGCAAGTTGAATTGGAGGTGGAATAAGTGGCATCCTACTACTGGACACATGATCGGAATTGGAACCTATTAGTGACTTGGTAGTAGGAGGCGGTGGGGGAGGTGGTGGTGGTGGAGGTGTCATAAAGAAATTCCCGCTAAGACCGATAGTCATAGCTTTATTTAGTAAGTTGGTAGGCGGCAAAACAGGTGGTAAAGGCAGGCCAGGAACAGGAGGTAGACTTATATCACCAGTTTCGGTTGATGAATGAGAGTTGGCAGCCGCCAAAGCTGCTGGTGATTTCCCCCAATTGACTGTTAGTCTATGACCACCCAAAATTAATCGGTCATAAGTCCGCTCAGCTGCACGCTCAGCAGCACCTCTAGTTGCGAACTGTATGAAAGCACAATGTTGTTTGGCATGGAGATTAACAGAACGTAGCTCTCCAAACTGGTAAAAATGATTGCGAAGGTCTTTTTCCGTCATTCCATCAGGAATACCCCCAATGTATAGCGTGGTTATTGTACGATCCTCAGGAGGAATAAGTTTAGGCATCGTGTCATATTTCGACAGCAATTTGGCAGCCACTGGATCATCGTGACCGTAGTAACGGTCTCTTAGATTCTGGTCAGAAAGAGGATCATCAGGATCAGTAGGCTTTTCATGCCTATATGGACATTCTTCTCCTCTCCTACATTCACCCTTCACCCAAAAAGAGCATATGTGTGGGCGATTCCTACGATAATACGGTGCAGTACGGGCTAACTTTAAAAGTAAATCTGTGCCCCCACCACCACTAGAACTGCTTGCCGATGCTGTGTTTGAAATAGCTTTTCCAATTAGCTGATTTCCTCCATATGGAGCTGTTATATCACCTTCCACTTCAAGGTTCTGTTCAATTTGCTGGTGGAAATATTCTCGATTAACATCATTTTTTGGCAATTGTTGTGATAAACGAAGTGCTTTATCACGGACTTCAACAGGAAGACCATATTCGAGGTCGAACAAACAGGTCTGGCAAACATTTTTGATCTTTGCACAACTCTGACAGACTTCAGTCTTTTTGAATCTGGCTTTGGGACCAGGACACCAACGAAATACAGTGAAAGGGCGATCACAAATTTTACACTCCTTGCCATATTTCTCTTTCATCATTCGAACGAAGGGACTTGGTCCTAAGCATGTCTCACAGAGAATGGGAAATGACTAAACAATAGATAAAATAAATGAGTGGTTGTTGATATAAGCGAGATGATAAGGGAGCAAAATATATATGACAAACTGGAAAAATACACGAAGCGGTTGACTATTCATTAAAAAAAACTATAAATTCTCTTGATACACTTACATTAAAATCAGTGTGATTAACATGGTTTATGGGGTTTTCGTTCTTATAGATCTTTGATGTTTCACTGTAGCTCGGGAATAGTGAACTCGATAAAATCTGTAGTACCATTGGGTCCTAGCCAAATCATCCGATAGTCGGGTCACTGGATGTCGAACAGTTCACTGATTCTCGTCAAGGGCAACCAACATGCACGCCATGGACTGATCCATGAAGCAGTGGTCGCACTTTGTTCCTTGAACCTACTCTTACTAATATATTTCTGTAATAACTTCGTTTGTGTTGTATGGTCACCAAAGTAGACAGGACCTGGATACGACGAAAGAGTAAACCGTTAGGTACTAATCGTGAGGTGTGACTTCGACCTTAGCTAAATGTTTACACCACTCGCGTCTAAATCGGTCAGTAAGTCAGTAACAACGTGGAACTTCGTACGTACGTACATCAATTCGAGTTGCCATACCACATTAACACAGAAATTCAGTTATCGATTCGAATCGCGTAGTGGTAGAGGTAGTGAAAGTATAAGTAGTAATCGGGAACATTAGGGTTTGATGATGTTATTTAAGGAGTATAATCCAGTGGATTAGATTTGAAAAGAAAATAAAAGACATGAAGAATTCAGAAGATTCGAGTTTGAGAGAACACAGAGAGTGGATGCACCTGCAACATTGCAAACGATTTTGAGCAATGTTATTCACGATCTCTAACCATCGGTTGCTATCATCTCGCGGTCCCCAACCAGATAGTCTATACCTACCAACATGACTCAGTCCACTTGTCAGTGACTTCATGGATTTGTGCCATGTTTTGGTCTGGCCGCCCCTAGCTTTCTTCCAACCTACTCCTACACCATAAAACATAGCACGTCGGGGCAGTCGGTCATGCGTAACACATGTCCCAGCCACCTGAACTGATTAAGTTTCACTACTTCATCAATTGATTTGCCATCCTTACCTAGTACCCGTTTCCTAACAACTACATTACTTACTCGGTGGTCCCAGGATATACGAGCAATGTTTCGAAGACACCTATGATCAAATACTAGTAAGCCCCCAAATGCCCTGGTATGGCCAAGAGCGGGGAGGGTTCGCCCTCCCTCTCGAAATACTCTCACATGGCCACGCGTATACAGCCTCTGCCAGGGAAGTCCTACTCACTGCCTTCTCGTGGCATTACTGTTGTTTACGAAAATGAGAGGACGAAAAGCGAATGTCCGGCGCTATAACCGGATCCCAATTCTATGGTGCACATGGGCTCCAGTATCCTGCGGGAACAAATGGCGTATGAACCAACTTTTGGTCACCGGCTTCCATGGGACTGCATCTCCTCACGATGCTCCACTGCCTTGTGGACTAGACCTTTAGGTCAAAGGCTCGGAGTGTGGCCCCCTAAGAAAACCACCTGCTTCGGTCTGGGCACCCGGGCAGTATTTCAGCCCACTCACTAAAACTATGATGAACAATTTGCTTATGGAAAATATTCCTTTCTATCTGATTAACACTGAAATAACTCGTACTATTATTATTGTTATTATTATTATTATTATTACTCTACCACGTCATTTATTCACCCTCTCTTATTCCTACTTTATATATGCGTTTCGACCTAGACAGCAGCTCGCCTATGGTGAAAATTCAGCTTTATCTAAACGTTCCCGAGTCACTGCCTGGTTGAAAATTGTATGTTACTACCGAACATGAGTACTGAAGCAGTTTTTCTGAAACCGCGTGCACCATTCAAACTGGCTACCTTCAACGTTCGCACACTTATGCAGGTCGGACAACAGATAGGACTGGCTATGTCTTTGGAAAGTCTTAATATTGATGTGTGTTGTCTATCCGAGACCCGTATTCAAGACTCTGGTGAAGTACTACAAGTTCGCTCTCCATCTGTCACTTCAAAAAGCTTGTTTTATGTGCGTTTATCCGGGGACCCTGTGGCATCTTCGTCTGGTCTTGCTGGCGTTGGTGTCGCACTAAGCGCAAGAGCTGAGGCAGCACTAGTCGACTGGATCCCCATTAACAGTCGGTTATGTGCTGTTAGATTAGAAAGTTCCATCAAAGTGAGAAGAAATCGGCGTGAGAAACGATGTCTCCTCGTCATCTCCGCCTATGCCCCGACAGATTGCAGCCCGGATGCAATCAAGGACGAGTTCTACCACCAGCTAACTGTTCTTCTCCAGAAAGCGCGTTCGACAGATATTGTAGTACTAGCTGGAGACTTGAATGCTCAGGTCGGGCGTCTAGGCACAGAAGAGGGTCGTTTAGGTGGCCGATGGGGACTCGTTGGTCGCAGGACAGATAACGGGGAACGTCTACTGCAACTATGCACAGACCACAACCTGTTTCTGGCTAGCACTAACTTTCGGCACAGTCATCGCCGATGTGCCACCTGGCGTCCTCCTTCTGCATCTCAAGCCTGGACTCAGATTGATCACATCGCGATCAGCTACCGCTGGCGCGGTTGTGTACAAGACTGCCGCTCCTTTTGGAGTACCTATCTGGGATCTGATCATGCTCTGGTCTGCGCCAATCTTACCTTACTTTTCAGTGGACAACGAAGTGACCGCCACCAAAGGATTGATGTTAGCAAGCTGGCTGCAACTTCTGTTGCTAGTAAGTACCGAACCGAGCTAGCTTCTAGGCTAGCTACCATTCCACCGAAAAGTATAGATGAGCATTGGTTGCAATTGCATGACGCCATGAAAATGGCAGGTACAGTCTGTTGTGCGTTTGCGATACATCCCGCTTACAAGCACTGGGTTTCTTCTGGTTCCTTACAACTGATTGAAGCCCGTCGGTCTACTCCGGGTGACCGTGAGTTTGACCACAGACGAAGGATGTTACGTAATGAAATCGGGCAAAGCTTGCGTAAGGACCGAGAAGCCTGGTGGTCGGAGCGTGCCAGTGAGTTGGAAGCAGCAGCTGCATCTGGTAATTACCGGAAGCTCTTCCAACTCATCCGAGCCACTGGCAGCAAGAAGTTTGGTGTGAGCGAAACAATCTGCGAGGATGACGGAACGCCAATCACTAACATCCATCGACGTCTTGGACGATGGGCAGAATTCTTTGAAGGGCAGTTCAACTGGTCTGCTGCTCCGGCAACATCGGTCAGACTGTCCTGCCCTCCATGGCCGGTGACGACTGGTCCACCAAATGAGGCGGAAGTCCGCAAGGAACTCCAACTCTTGAAACGTTACAAATCACCGGGCCCAGACGACTTACCTCCGGCTCTTTGCCATCGATGACATTCTGGAAACAGCTCTGACGGATGTAAGTAATGGTGGTGTGGATCTGTTGCCTGGAGAAAGACTTCTTGACCTTGAGTATGCGGATGATGTTGTCTTACTGTGCGAGAATGCCCAAGCCATGCAATCCGCACTTAATCAGTTGGCAATCAGTGTCCGTAGGTATGGTATGTGCTTTGCACCTTCGAAGTGCAAAGTTCTTCTACAAGACTGGCAGGATCCTAATCCTACACTCACCCTGGGTAGTGAACAGATAGAAGTAGTCACGAAGTTCGTGTATCTAAGTAGCTGCATAAGTGCTGGTGGTGGTGTGAGTGATGAGATCAATGCTCGTATAGTGAAAGCCAGAGCGGCTTATGCCAATCTGGGCCATCTTTGGCGCCTTCGTGATGTTAGTCTGGCTGTAAAAGGTCGGATATACAACGCGACGGTGAGAGCAGTTTTGCTCTATGCTTGTGAAACCTGGCCTCTCCGAGTTGAGGATGTTAGACGACTCTCTGTGTTCGATCATCGTTGTCTCCGAAGGATTGCTGGCATCCAGTGGCAACACCATGTCAGTAATGCAGAGGTTCGGCATCGAGTGTTCGGTCACAGAGACGATAATGAAATTGGTGTCACCATCTTGAAACACCGACTTCGGTGGCTTGGACATGTTTTACAAATGTCGTCCCAGAGAATTCCACGTCGTGCATTATTTGCCGACTCTGGGACTGGTTGGAAAAAGCGGAGAGGTGGTCAGTGTATGACATGGTGTCGTGGTATGAAAGAAAGCTTCAAAGGGCTAGCTTCTGTTGGTCCTTCACGACTCCCTGGTTGGGGTCCGAGAGACGGTGTAACGCAGTGGCTAGAGACGTTATCAGATATGGCTAAGAATAGAAGCCAGTGGCGATCGTGCTGTAACCTCTTACTTTCTTCATAAAAAGTGTTTATATCTTCCTTAACTGAAAGATCTCTTCTGATTGTACCTTTCCGTTTCCCCCACCATTGTTCTCTCTCTCTCTCCCTTTTTTTTATAATTCCCCACGTTCATTACTTTTTTTTTTCTCTTTTCTCCTTCTCTTCAAATTATCATTGTTTTGTGTGGCGCATATATATTTGGTGCCCCTCTGTACCAATATTTATGTGTTCAAATAAATAAATAAATAATAAATAAATACTAGTAACCTAAGAATATCCTGTGCTCTTACTGGCCATGTTTCACTGCCATAAAGTAGGACGGAACGAACTGATGCGCAGTAAACACGTCCTTTGGTTAATAGACGGATATCTCGCCTACGCCACAAATGACGCAAGTTGGCAAAAGCTAGTCGAGCCTTCAGTATCCGTGCTGAGATTTCGTCACACACCAGTCCCCAATCATGTGACACAGACCATCTACGTTATTAATCTACAAATCTAGCAATCTAACAAAGCACCAACCAATTATTTACTTTGTAAGAGGATTTGGGAGATGGATAAACTGGAACGCACTTGTAATTATACTTTTAATAATAATGAGGGTAGTAGTGTGGTGTGCTACTTATGTAGACATGAGTAGTATATGACGTGAGTCGTGAACAGAATGTCTGGCAGCAGAGCAACGAGAAGATCGAACAACAAAGAATGAAGAAAGAATGCAATTTGTATGAAAATGCAAGAACAAAGGAATTCTGAGTGGTTTGAGACAATGGATGAACAATTTGCAAATTGAGCATTTAATTTATGGTTGTTAGATTTTAATAACTAGTTCTGTAATTTGTTGTCAAATACACTTGATTGTCCCCCACTGGTGTTTTGTTCACCACAGTAGGACTCTTTTGTCAAGTACCCATTCTTACTTTTGAAACAATAAAGATAATGATTTTACTTTGCTACCGAAAACAAGAGACGCAGAATGGAAGCCAAATGCTTTAACCCCGAAGTTATATCTCTTAACGCGGTCAGATTAAGCTACATCAATTAAGTCTTGTAGAATCTATCATTGTAGGGTGCGCCAAGAAACTACATAAATCTACGGACGGATTTTTACTATGTACTCTTGGTCGTTGAACTTTAATCTAAACCAGTCACTCTCAATGGTACAAGACAAAACTACGTGCCCTCATAAATTTACTAAACATGCTAACGCATGGATGTGACTTGGATCTGATTTTCAAAAGATGGATTTCCCACTTGAATGAATATCTATATTCTGAACGTCTTGTGAGAACATGTGGGACTGGAGTACGATTCAAACTGAAGTCAGAAAGCATTCTAGCGGTTCCTGTTAGTACCACTTCTGCCCAAATTTATCATGAGTGTACTTGACTAAACAGGGTTATCATCATACCGAGTTATTTTTTTTCATAAGACCTGTTAAACAACATGAAAAGTAAACGTAGTACGTTGGACAACGGAATCAATAAGATGTTTGAGGAATAACTCAAATACGTTCAAGTTATCCAGATTATGTCTTAACACATAAAGTGTATAATGACACTTAGGTGATTAATGCATGCAATATGCGCAGTTTAACAATTAAAATAGAGTGTATGAACCCGTTATTTTTAATTCTAGATTGTATAGGCTTTGACGGTTGAAAAATACTTGGAAGAGATATTAGACACCTAACTGCCGTTGTTAGTGTAGGTTATTATTATACCTCAAGAAAAAACCAGATTCCTATTGTCAAGTGAAAATGAAATGTAAAGGTCTTTGTCCTAACAAACAGCTCTGAAATGTGTCAGCATATTATAGCGAAATGTGAAGTGTTACTGGCTGATTACGTGTCTATGGTGTATTAGTCTACTGTGGTTAGAATGGTGTAACGTCTAAAGTAAAGGCTAAACTGAATGCTAACCCCACTTTATGATAAGCAGAATCAACTGGCCAAACGAGTGTAATATGTTGAAGTAGCCATACTTAAGTTCTATTGAACTGAGCATCATGAATATTTTGTTTGAAATTCAAAATCCTGTTCAACGTCCGGATAACAGATGTTTCAGAGAGACAATGTAATCTCGTAATGAGGAATGTTTCCCAAACTTCCTCAAGAATGTCAGGTTATCTAAGTAAAGCAATATTAACAAAACAACAAGACCAATAGTCCTTGCAAACGATATCACTTTCAAGGGAGTAGAACCTAAAACTTAAGTGACTGATATTTACTTGACTGTGTTGTTGATTTATAATGACTGAAGGAGCCATAACTGGGATGTGGAGCAAAGTTGACAAGAGATCAGATGAACAGTATTTAGCAAACAAATTTGATTATTGAATCTATATACAGTTGTAAGCAGTCTTTTGCTGTCGACGATTATAATAAATTTCCTAAAACATTTGACCGAAGACAGGATTTTAAAATACAATTGAAGTATTTTTTGAATGACTAAATATGTGATAATCGCACATTGACACATCCGAAAAACACTACCCTAGTGTTTTCCGAGTTTATTGTTAGGAAGAACATATTCTGCGTTAATGTATAAACCTAACTATACACAATATCTTACAAGTAACTTACACGAATTTTTTGGAGACTAGGAAATTTGTTGTCAAAACCTCCTAAACTTTAAAACGCACTTTACATAGCGTGCAGGTATTACACTGTGGTATACTTACTGAGTCTTCCCAGTTCTGACGGTTGTAGGTGTTGGCACCCTTAGATGCCGCCATTTCGAGACACGGTCAAAATTCCGCCTGCGCCTGCTCAATATCCAATATTTTTGATATTAGTCCGTGTAAAACGAATGGCTTCCCAGTTTACTCGTTACCGTTTTTGTGCTTCATTCCGAAATTTTTTATTTCTTGCAGTTAAGTTATTTGTGTCGTCCAAGTTAGGTAGCAGTAAAGAAATTTGACTGTTCATAGCCTACTCATTGAGACTTCAGATCTTTGTAGTGGATTAGGACAACTCAAAGAATATACCCGGTAAGTCTAGAAGCTAAGATAGTACAAAATCTTCCTGACATCCAAGTTTCACCACTGGATTATCAACTCTCAGAACCCATGACCTGTATAATTAGTGTCAACATCTGATATTGACTCATTGGAGAGGAGTACAGATATTCATAATAAGTATTATAAAAAGACTCATATGAGCCTTCAGCTTTGTTTTATCAGTACATAGATTAGGATCCTAAGTTTGGGTTACATGACGGTTTTTCATATGCTGTGTGACATTTCGTTGTACATTTCCGTTAAGCCTGGAAAGGGTATTCTATCAAAAATTTCGGGTGATTTTTGATTGCTTGATTGTAAGTGACTGATATTTTTGCTTTGTATTCTAGTTGTCGACTGCGTTACGCAATATTTTCAAAAGTTGATAATTGGCTAGAAAATACATTCGCCTATTTGTAAGTAATACTTATGTATTAAAAACATCGCAGTTATTCAGTAAGTGACATCCGTTTTGTCCGTAACAAATTTATGACCGAAGAATTGCCAACGGGCAAACTAGAAGTCAGGAATAAAGGAGTTCAACGATATACCCGGAAAATAGTCGGCATGAGGAGCGTCTCCAGTCACTTAAACTTTACCCATCGCAGTACAGCTCTCTTAGAGGTGACCTTCTAATAACACTTCTGGACATCCCCTTAATCATCTACTTAAGTTTAGCTCAAACACAAATCTAACGGGCATCACCCAGAAACTCAAGACACTACACAAAAAAATGGACTGTTGACACAACTTTTACTCCTTAAGAGTTGTCAAATGGTGAAATTTGCCGCCGGATGACTTAGTCCAAGCGACTTCTCGGGAGTCCTTCGTGGAGAAGCTTGATGTAATCTTAAGGACTAAGAATAGTATTTTGGTAAGGTTTATCAATTTCTATTTCTTCTATTATCGGTAATACGCCTAGGTTCCTGCTTGAATGTACTGATGTCCATATGCTACTAGACGCGGAAGTCATTATCACCGTAAATCACTTCAAATCACAGGGCCTGCATGTTACCAAAAAAAATTACCATAAGGTTTGAATTTTTTGATTTGCTAATAGTTTTTGTTTCCTGACCAGCTATTACTGCATACCTTCGATTTATTATCCAGGACGTTAGTACCCGGAGGAGTATCATAGACCTCATAGCGACCCACGACGAGCAATAACTTCTTAAGTCTTCAGCGACCCTTCAAACGACCGTTGAATCTAACGAGTGAGTTTTGTTCGGAACCAGGTTAGTTCACATCAGCCCTGTTTAATTTCATTAGATCGACCGTTCGTATGGATTAATGACATATTATTTGATGACTAGTGAAGATAAAGATGAAAGCAAATATAAGAAATGTCTCGTTGATTCATGTAGCAACGTCATCAACTTGAGGTTCGACGAAGATTTTTTTCTTTACATGCTGCATGCCTTAAAAAGTAAGAGAAACATTTTTTACCTGTTGAAATTGCTAGATCATTTTTTACACACATATTCATAAATTTCAGGACATTCGCCACTTTTACCAACAACGTGTGTGCCCGAATCTTGAAAACTCCAAAAAGAGAGACTGTAAAAAAAGACCGGAAATGTTTTTACCAAGAAGATAGTGGAATTTCCATTGCTTTTAATGGGTGAATTTATCCGCAACGCAACCATGTAAACTTAATGTATCGCCCAGAGTCGTCTGTGTGTTCATGTAACCACAGATTATGTCATTTCATAATTTATTACTAGGCTCCACAAAACAAATGGAGTGGACCTAAGTTCGAACTAGTAATCTAATGGTTATAATTCTGGTGCTTTAACCACTAAACTGATGACAGGGTTGAGGAGTGATGTTTCCCTTAATACATGGTGCTTCTATATTTGTGGATGGAGAGGTGTTGCCCATTCTAAGGATGTGGGTTAATTGGGTCTTGAAAGTTAGATATCATTATTAGAGGTGAATTTTAAATACTTGAGTTTAAGAGTGAACCCCAACAAGATGTTAGTGTTAAACATTTGTTTCCTTTGATCCATTTCAAGGCTAGTAGTTACTACGAATTACATCAGATTGTTTGTGTATTGCAGATTTTAGTTACAATGTTGGAAAGCTGTTATTTAGGTTGCTGCTTGATATTTTCGTTTTTATTCAACACTACTTCCGTAATACATTTTTTACAGGCTTATAAGCGGTCAGAATGGACTTCAAAAGACCATTGGCTGGAGTAACCTCAATGTCGATGGTTCCTTTGCCTAGTAAGAAACCTCGAAAAGATGGTTCAAGTTTGGGAATCACCCCATTTGGCAACGGGATGCACAAGTTAAATTACAGGTGTTACGAATGATGACACATACAAATTATCTTTTAGTTGTCTTTCAAGTTTGTCTACTGAAATCGAAGTAGGTATTCCAAGATTTCCAATGTTCTTATCTATGTATTGGTTTTCTATTTATAGAAGCTATTAAACAAGCTAAAATTTTATCTGCTTTTGAATTATTTGACGAACACAAATGACTAAAATATTATCATTAACCTACTTCCTGAGTAATTCTTCAGTAATAAACTGCACTTAAGAGGACTTTTAACAAGGGTGGAACACGAAAGAGCTTTATTGCAGTTAGAAATATTCTAATTAATGAGCTAGCCAAAAATCGATGTATTTTAAATTTTCACTGATTGAAATCAAGCTCAGTCACCGCCCCTTGATTAATACATGCTGTTTTAATTCCTTGCGACGAACTTCCGGGCTTCCGGAATAATCCTCTTTCAAAGTTTGAAATATTTATACCAGCAATCAATTGATATCGATGTTGAGTTCCCGATTGTTCTACAAAATTGAATTTCGCGGCTTTTTTCTGTAGTTCAAGTTTAAATTCTATAACTTTCTGATCATTTGTCACACCAGTTTGTGAGACTTCGCCCTCTCTGCATTCAGAGCTGACTGCACATGACTAAATAGTAATTCCTTGGGAGATTCATACGATAATGAAATTGGTTGCTCTGGAAAAGCATGATCCTTCAGGAGGTGGTAAGTATTTTTCCTGATGAATGTCAGATAGTAAGCCTCGAATTTTTAATTTCAGTCAGGCAGCAAGTTTCAAACCGCTTTATCTAATTTTCAAAGTCGTCCCCGTTTGAATCATTATACCACTGTCCAAGATTCTGAAGATGCCACAGGTATTTGACAACTCTTTGACCAGTAACACCTTCTAATACGAAGCGCACCCACCAAGTGAAATCAAAAGACAGAAATGAGGAGGTTCGAAGACATCTTTGATAAGCTATTAATATATCGAGGATCGTTTACACTAATCTGGCTAGCGATTGCAGTAGATGTTGGGCACGGCGTTCCAACACGTGACCTGGTGCGGATGCTTGACCTAGCGCCTTCAGCTAGATGAGTCCATTAAAACTAATGTGGTCAGCATCCAATGTCGAAGACTTACAGAGCTATTTGATTTTGGGGAATTATTTACCGCTACAGATCACTCCCCCCCTAGTGGGGTAGTGATGACCCTAAGACGTGGCCAGTCAGAAGTTCAAACCCAACGAATTTTTCGTTGGTAAACATTCTCCTGATAGCTTGCTAGGTTTAGCAGCGCCTGGTCGTCTTTCCTTACTATAATAGACCATGATGTACAATATAGTAAAAAAAAGTACAATGCAGATTTTCGTTTCTCGCAACTTCATCGTTCTTTTCATCGTCTTTTCCAGCCGTCATGGAAAAGAAAAGAAAAATATGTAAGTGCATGTCGGAATACACTCGTACCCGCGTGGAAACACAAAACGGGCGAAGAAAAAGGAAAACAAACTCATGCTCACGTAATAGCGTAAACAAGGATTTTTATAATATGGTTACTTTTTGTTTTTTTCTTTTTTGAAATAAAAAACAAAAATATATAAGCATACTATATTTGGGTTTCTTCAAATTATATATAGTACAAGGGAAAATCGAGAGGATATAAAATGTTAACTTGTGTCTTACGTGCAGTAATCGTTCAAATGTTCTGGAAATTTTACTCTTCTTCCAGAACGCGTTGTTTTAAGTTTACGTTCTGATACCGCGGAAGTTTCATCGTGTGTGTTGGCTGTCGATTGAGGTATTGTAAATGCAGGAGTCGTGTCATGAGATTTTACTGAAGGAAAACCGACTTGAATAGGATTTCCTTCTAAATATGCTGCTTTGAGGCGATCGATGCCGATGCTATCATTGGTTCCGTTCTTATCGACTATATGGTACTTGAGTTCGTGTTGAACATCTTTGAAGGGTCCTCCATATGCTGATTCGAAAGGTCGTCGATGTGAGTCTCGACGCACGAAAACGTGTGTACTATATCGTAAGTCAGGTTGAACGAAAACATCAGTTGATTGTGGTCGAGTGGGAACAGGTTTAACTGAACGCATTGCGTTTGTAAGCCTGTTCGCGTAGGAGGTTAGATCCATGTCTATCGAAGAGGATGAAGGATCCACGAACTCTCCTGGAAGTCGAAGGGTCGTACCATAAACGAGTTGAGACTCAGTGTATCCAATGTCAGATTTCACTGCATTGCGTATGCCTAGTAAGACGAGTGGAAGAGCGTCAGTCCATTGAGAAATGTTTGAGGCTGATAGTGACGCTTTTAGTTGTCGGTGAAAACGTTCTACTAAACCGTTTGCTTGTGGGTGGTAGGCCGTCGTTCGAAAGCGAGTGATTCCTAGTTTCATGGTCAGACAACGGGAAAGTTCAGATTCGAACTGATGTCCACAATCTGTAGTGATGGTTGAAGGGCAGACGAAGTTTGCTACCCATCATTCGAAT